GGTCGCAGTATGAGGGCCAGTTTTATGGCTCACCCCTCATACCATTACTCATACGTACCTCTGTAATATTATGCGCGAAAACGTGGATTCTGTTCAAGAACACTGGTAGGGCAGCGCCATAACTCAAACGGTTAGTCGCTGGCCAGGCGAGCCAGACCAGGGGTATGCAACTCATNACGACACCACGAACGAATTACAGATATTCACAATAGGTGGCAGAATATGTTCCATGTCGTCCAAACAACATTCCTATATTTGTATAAATTAGATACGTAATAAAAGTAAAAGAAGTAATTGTACTGATTATTAACAGTATACTCTCAGATTTAAGTTAAGATCTGCTTTAAGAATCGGTGGGTTACCGCTATTATAGAATAAGATATTTATAAGAATGTGCTATAGAAGGCGGGATGGGCATTGCCTAGGCCTTTTTTGTATTTACAATATTTTTTCTACAATAAAAGAACTCATCCACGGATGACCGTAAGCACTGATCAGTATTGCGTAGTAATCTGTGGTGGGTGAAAAGAGGGGAAAGCGCGAGGTATTAGCCGGGTTTGGTGTAGTATCCTCAGCCTAGTCGCCAAAACAATGTTTTCAAGCAGGAGTTGCATAGAACATTTATTTCCTCACAATTAAATACTTGGTCACATCTTTGATGATGGCGAAATTAAAAATATCACATTTCAAAATATTCCAGCTTTCCGAAAATGTAAAAATTTTAAAAAGTGTCGAAACAGCAGACATTCCAATTATTTCAAAACTGAAATTTTAAAATATTCTAAATTTCAATATCCGAAAGCTTTGCATTCTTTAGATTTGCAGCGATGGAAATTTTTCTGAGCTTCAAAAGCAAAGTTTAATCAGGGAANATGCTATCATACCACCTGCGCTGTCGGTAAGAAAGTACGCTATTATACCACCAGCATTTTTTTACTGCTCCCTCCCAAAAAATCACTGGTTAACACGTATAANTGATGGCGAAATTAAAAATATTACATTTCAAAATATTCCAGCTTTCCGAAAATGTAAAAATTTTAAAAAGTGTCGAAACAGCAGACATTCCAATTATTTCAAAACTGAAATTTTAAAATATTCTAAATTTCAATATCTGAAAGCTTTGCATTCTTTAGATTTGCAGCGATGGAAATTTTTCTGAGCTTCAAAAGCAAAGTTTAATCAGGGAAATTGCAAACACCTTGCAGAGTATTATTAGAATGATAAAGTCAAGGAGGGTTTGATGGAAGAAGCATATAGCAAGCAGGAGAGGCAAGTGCTTAAAAAATGATTTTTATAGCAGAAGCTATATGTATCACTTTCATCAAGATTCAATACATATTACATGCCAACAAACTGAAGGCTTCGAAAATCTGCAAGTATATATCCATGAACTGAAATATTTTATTGTAACTATACCATTTTAAGACAATTGAGATATAAGAAATGATGCAAGAATTTAGAGATCACATATCAATAATAACAATGATAACTGTTTAAATTAATAGATGCATGGACACATAGACGAACATTTTAATTTAAACAAACAGTAACTAGTATCAGTTCTAAGTTAAAGTGATATTCCTAAGCATGTGATTGTATCATTTTGCTTATTTGCAGGCTGTGCTGTATGTATCCAATTAGCATGGTATTATTAATACTGTATTATAATCTTATTAATTTTTTAAGCAAAACTATAATTGTACAGATATTATATATTTGTACTTGACTTGTTCCATATCCTATGTTGTCAACCTGCACTTTGATTTACAGAACATAAATAAACTCAAATTCATTATTTTTTAGATATTTACTTACATACAGAACACACAAATAGTACTGACACATCATTATTTGGAGCATTTATTGTCCCACCATTGGTAGCCATTTATGATCTTGATGTGAGGTCTTTTTTCACTTGTTATTTCACTGTAATACCACTGCTGAGTTACTGCAATGCCATATTTTTTCTTTTTCTTTCTGCCTGCACTGAACAAATGTTGTGTGATCTACATTCAACTGGTCTACCAACTGATTTACTAGCTCATGACTCACAAGAATTTCATAGCTACTCTTTATAGAAGCAGCCCTTCAGGAAACACAATGTTTCAATTGAACCCTTCAACACACACGCTACTCATTCTGGTAGCACAAGAATTTTTTCAATTAAGGTTACTATTTCTGATGTATCTTCATGACAGCTGTTTATGTATGCCCTTAATTATGATCTGAGGACAAAAATATGCCTGCCTATGGGTGCTGCATTCAGATGGTTGTCACATCTACTACATAATTAAAATAAGTTTAGGCACAGCATGTAGTAAAACTAATTGTAGCTAAATGCATACAATATGTTAAATAATGATCAAATGTTATCTTTTGATATAGGAGATCATATATTCAGGTCTTTGCTGGAGCAATTACAGAGACTGAAATTTTTTTTCTCTGGCTTTTGTACTGCCCCCTCCCTCCTGGGAGGGAGTCCACTCCCGCTTTGGGAAAAGCTGCTCTACATTAAGAGCTCAGAGCATTGCCACTTCACCAACCTGCTCAGAGAAAAGGGAGAGATGACGTAGTCTTGCCCTGATTTTAGGTACTTGGAAAATATTCACCTCTAATATTTACTTCATTTCCCCAACAAGGTGGCCAGTCTCCTTTCAACTCTCATCAAACTTGGTTGTATGGTAAATGGCACTTCTGTCTTGTATTAGCATGGTGTCATGAAATCAGCCAATGGACTGGCGATCCTGACTGCCTTATACAGAATATTAAAGGAAATGAGTACAGGTTTTAAGCGGGTATAATACTCCCTTAAATTAACAAAAGAGTCTGAGTCACCATACATCCAGAAACCAATGCCTGCCGAGATATGGAAGACGTTCATATGACCTTTACAACAGATGCTCTGTGTGGTGCCCATGCATTTCAAAACAACCTTCAACTCTTCGTCATACAGATGCGCATATTTTGTTGATAATTCCTAGTTTCACTCGAATCTCCTGAGAGTCATTCTCTGCATAGTGACGGATGGTAGGGTGAATAATAAGTGATGAATTGGAAAGGACTTGAAAGGAAGCAGTTGTGACCTAAGTTATGTAATATCCAGGTATTTGGATCGAAGAACTGGGGAAAACTATGGAAAACCTCAGTCAGGATAGCTGGTGTCATGGCCGAGATTCGAACAGAGCACCTACAGAATACAGGTCTACGGCGTCACTTCTATACCCACCCGTTTGTTGCATTCTCTATTTATTTGTTATTCATTTTCGTATGTAGGGACATTTTATCAACAACAATGTACACACAGCTATATGATAAACTATGTTCATTTCTTAGCCCAACTGCATGGCTTGTACAACGCCGAATGGCAGAAAGGAAATGCATAATTAATTGAAAAGGATGTCCAAAATTACGGGAGACAAAAGAAACCCATGATGAAACTCGTATAGAACTCCGGTGAGATGGTTGTAGAGAACTGTCAATTTTGAAAGGAAAGTTCCAGTCATTACATCACCATGTTCGAACGAGAAATGATAAAAATGACTATAAATGGTGGCTGGAAACGGATCTAAAGGAAAATGGCAGTGGACTATTATTTGGAATTTTCAGGAAGGAACCTGTCAGGGCAGCTGGTTCCTGGTTCAATATTTCTGCATATTATACATGCATATACATATAAACACAGAGCGTTATTTTCTGAAAGCATGTTTTTCGGTGCTCTTATATTCGATTTTTACTTCAGGATAGAAAACACAATGTACCAGCGGATGTCCGGTGTTTGACAAATTTTCCTGTATGCTTACTTGTTTGGAAAACACTGATTATTACATATATTTGCCTTATTTCAAATTTAATTATATTTGGTTTATGATGGTAACTTACTTACTTACTTACTTACTTACTTACTTACTCATGAAGCTTGGCCCTTCTAGAGGACCTGCCAATTCTGCAGCTACTCAAGAATTTCCCAGCATTTTATGGAACAAGAAGGTTCATTACCATGTTCACAAGAGCCCTCCACTAGTCCCTATCCTGAGCCAGATCAATCCAATCAATACCATCCAATCCTATCTCTCTAAGATCCATTTTAATATTGTCTACCCACCTACGCCTTGGTCGTCTCAGTAGTCTCCTTCCTTCTGGCTTTCTCACCAATATCCTATACAAATTCCTCGCCTCCCCCATTCGTGCTACATGCCCTGCCCATCTCATCCTCCTTGACTTGATCATTCTAATTATACTTGGAGAAGAGTACAAGTTATGAAGCTCCTCATTATGCAGTTTTCTCCAACCTACTGTCACTTCATCATTCTTCGGTCAAAATATTCTCCTCAACACCCTGTTCCCAAACACTCTCAGTCTATGTTCCTCCATTAATGTCAGAGACCAAGTTTCTATAAATTTAATATCTCGCTTGTCAGTCTCATAAATTATTACTCATTTCTGAAATGTTAATTTGTGAAATTTTGTTACAAATTGTATGTACATTTATATTACAAGAACTTGTATAAATATTAGGTGTACCGAAGTGAGAAGAAGAATGTGACTTTAGCTTACACCAGCGTATACTTTCGTTCATACATACATAGGTCTACAAATGTGTACACAAATTTACAATAACGAAAACAGTTATTTGGTTTTATGTAGCATATTTTTCTACATTATAATGTACAATAGAAAGGGCAACCGTGAGCAGCAGTTTCGACATTATAGCTACGTGATGGACATTTCCCTTGGCAAGATAGTTTGAAAATGCAACCAGAAAAGAAAAATTTATGGCATTCAATTTCACTGAATCGTAATAATCCCTTAGGAAATGTTCGGCTAATGTCTCGTGTTTGACAATAATCCAATTGAGAATGAAGATGGTCAAACTAACGTCAAACACTTATTTCGAAATGCTGTCTATTGTATTACATTAGGACCAGGGAGAACAACTGGTGTGAATTGATTAACACTATAGGGATGTTTCTTCTTTCATGCGATAACAATAAAAAACATAATTACATAACAAACGTTTTTAATAAAATGTGCTACACAATTATTATGCACATTTAATTGATTATTGTGACATCAAAATCATAAAACTTTAGGCTATAAGCGCGGAGCAGCAGCAGAAGTACATAAAAAATATATCATAAAAAAATAGCTCTTAATTGTACTTGGAAAATCTCGTTAGAAGTCTTTTCACTTTTAGGTATGACATCGTGCTTATGTAAATGAATTTCCATGCTTAGACCTATAATATATGAAGAACATTTTAACCAAGTGCATCCTGATGTTACAGAAAGGAAGCCAGAGTTGAATGTAAAATTTTCAATATAGCATTTACAATAGCATGCGAAAAAAATAAAATTTTTATGTAAAAAAAGGCTTAGCTAAAATAAAGAAGAGAGATCATTTTACAGTTTGACTTAAAACCTACATCCATCCTTTTGTACAAAATTAATGTAAATCCGATAACTTATGTTATCTGTGAGTATAGCTTGAACATTAACTTACATAAATTAGTCTGCTTATAAACATTCCTACAAATTGAGGTAATATTGTTCTTTTACCAAACCCATTATTAAAATTTACCAGATTTGGCATTATGAATCTGACTTTCAGATTTATAATTGATTGTCATCTTGAAGAGATATGGAAAGTATCCCCGAAAAACTTCACTAGTTCCATGTGGTCAACAATGTTTCGGGCTTTCCCACTTAGGTTTGTTCCAACAGAGACGCAACTCCGTCACTGACTGCAAATGAGATCTCTAAGATGCTGGTCTCAGTCAATCATCAACTCAAAATGCACAAAGCCCCGGCCTTTCTCCCGGTTGTACTCGATGTTGGGAGCCCAAAGTCTGCACTCAATGTTGATAAGGACACCAGCTAGCAAACAGAGAACGGGAGAGAATTATAGGCTGAAAGTGTACATCAGGAACGCATGGGGTGAGGGACAAAAGAAGAATGGTATTACAAGCAATTGTTTATGTTTTCTAAGTATAACTTCCGAGCGTTGTTCTATACGTAACACGTCACAGTTTCAATACTGCACCATCTTGAAACTCTCTCTTCCTCGCGGCTGTTATATAAGCAAACTCAAATTTAACTAACAAAAATCAAAATAATATAATACAAGTTTAACATGAGCATTTACTTATTGCCAGCTCTGACTTTGGTCGCCAGATCATTATCTGCCAAAAACTGGAAGAACAGGACAGAAGTGAATATATGTGTCCTTTGTATTTAATCAAGCATCACACAAGGACGTATGTGGAAGTGAAGATGTAACTTATGCTTTCTTATCCACTGAACTAGATGGGCAATATAGAAGAGGATGCAAAACATAGCGGCTAAATTTGCAGATCATAGAAATGATTCAAAATGGGAAACTTTGACACAGCTCAAAAAGATAGCTTGCATATGTACTCTTCTCAAGGCGTACACAGGAGAATGGGCTTGGAAGGCTATGGGTGATAGATTACAAAGACCATGCTATCTGAGCAGGGTTGATCATGATAGGAAAATTAGAAGCAGAAAGCAAAAGACATATCGGAAAATATTCGTTTGTAAATAGGACCATCCAGTACCAGAACCACCTACCTGCAGATGATTTATGGACTTTCTCCTGCAAACCTAGTAATTTTAGGAGAAGAATCGTGGTGAGGGTGTGAGGAGCGCATAATCATAGTGATGTAGAATGAAAGGAAGCTCATGGTGAAATATGACTGCAACAGTTCATGACATTACGTATTTCATTACTGTTACTGTTTAGTGTATAGTATACTTATTTTCTATTAATATTAATTTATATAATTGTAGTTGTAATTGTATTTACTGTAGTTGTAAGTGTATTTTTATTGTATTCATTGTGTGTAGTGTGTCCTTTGTTCCTTACGTAGTTTTGTATGCGGTGTTTTGTTTGAGTGTGGTGTGTTATTTTGTGTGATGTGTGCTATTTGTGTTTTGTGCCCTATTGTAGTACCACTGCCACAGGGTAAAAGCCCATTTGCAGTTAAAATAAATAATAATAATTATAAGCATAAAATAGTATATGATAAGAGAAGTTGGGGCAGGACAATACGAGTACAAGGCAAGCCACGTTATGATAAGACAGGACATGACAGAATAAGACAATACAGGCCAGGAGAGGTTGCGGTAGGACACAGTGTGATAGGATGGGATAAGAAAAGACAGGACATGATAGAATAGAATAGAACGGACTTCAAGGTGTACCATCAGTGGCTGTTCAGTGTACAGACCCATATCAGGACTGTGAAACAAAGAGATAAATTCATAATAGGTTGTGGTCTCATTGAAGATTAACTTTGTATCATATTCTTAAACAGCAGGGATGTTATCAGAATTTTAAGTTTTGGGACCGCCTCTGTGGTCTAGGGATCAGAGTTCCTGCCTACAGATCCAGAGGTTCCGGGTTCTATTCCCGGGAATAGCAGATTTTCTGAGAAGTAGTGTGTTTGGAACAGGGACCACTCAGCCTCGTGAGGATAATTGCGGAACTATTTCAAGGAAATAGCTGCTCCGGTCTAGAAAACCGAGATTAACGGCCGTGGGGATACGTTGCGCTGACCACATGACACCCTATAACCGCAAAAGTTGGCACTAACTTCGCTGACAAGTGGCGATCGCTCGGTCGGTGTAGTTCGCTTGCGGACTACAGGCCACGGAGTTTGTTCTGTTTGTTCTTTATGTTACTACGAAATACATGGCCTATCACCGTAACAAAATCCGTACGGTTCAGTCTGTTCTTTCTTGAGAACACAAAATTCGCTTAAGAAGTCAAACAATCTCAGATAATTTCACGGAATCCTAAGGCTGCTTTTCGTATTCTCAAGACCCGCCTGTGAATCTTATTTTGAGCGAGATGGCTGCAGTATACATGCTCATATACTGTTGCTTACGTTATTCTTACGTTATTCCACTAGTTCTCCCTTCCTGCTTGCTCAGTAGAATTTGGCGTGCTTCTTTCATATCTCCAATTAATGCTACAAGCACTGCTTATCTCATTCTCTTTGATTTGATCATCATACTAGCTTAATAAAATTCGATGATGAATGCCAATTTTGAAGTTCCTCATTATGCATTTTTCTCCAGCCCCGTGTAACTTTCTCATGCTTGGTGAAGGATACAAAAGATCTCTAATTGTCTCTTCACGCATTATGTATTACAGACTGGACGAATGTTAAGCTAACGACAACTGTAGTCTCTTGCTATACTTGCTAACAAGGTTTATCTCTGCCTCAAACTGATGCTTAATGAGAAGATTTGCAATAGTGCTTAACATAAAGTAAAGAGACTTACTTCGTGGTTTTACGAAACGAACAGGCACTATGGGGCTCACGTAATTTTCAGTGTTGTTGTAAGGAAAGTAGTAGCCAGGGAAGCCTTGCCGGGGTAAGTACTGGATAGGCCCCAAATTTTCCACGTCCGTAGGACTCTCTCCATCACAGCTCAGCCAAACTGTCTTCATCTACACACGAAAAAAACACACATACATACTGACTCTACTCACGTCTCTAATTAATTTACAAAACAATGTATAAACATTTCAACGTACAAAATATCTACTCATATAATTTATTGGTGTACCTACGGTTCGACTTCGAAAATGTCCGCAAATAAGCCATATTAAAGTATGTTGTAGAGGTTACCTGCTAACATATTCAAATTTGAACCGAAGATATACCAGTAAATTATATAAGGAGATATTTTGTACACTGAAGTGTATACATTTTTTGGACGCATCTGTACAATCTCAAAAATCTGCATTGTTATCATACTGATTCCTCAGCCATATACCTAATAAATGTCCCATTCCGGATTCTTATACATATGTGATAAATGTTCTGTTTCACCATAGTGCCAAAACCAAAACAATATTAAAAATAAGGGGAAATATTTATTTTCATTGGTATAAGCAAAATTTAAAGTTGGACTGAATAAGGTGAACAAAAGTATCAGTGTCACACTTTACAGGTACCAGTGAAAACACAAAAGCGCTTGTTAAGAGTGAGTTTATTCAACACAACATTATAATCTTACCAAAGCACGATAGATGCCATAGTACTCAGCTATTCTTTCCTTCAGACTGGCAGGCATTTCAGCAGGCAATTCTGATGTGCTGTTGTAATACTCTGGAGTCCAATTGGCGATCTGGAGAGTAGGATACGTCCTTTTTATTATAATTACCGTTTAGCTTATGAAATGTATTAACATTTTCATTTAAAAACTGAAAATTCATGAGTAGATATTGTCACAACTATTCGTTTATAACAAAGAGCGGAATTTTCAGCTATCCTAGCCCACCACCGCATACCACCTTCAGGTGTCACGGGTAGCGTAACTCAAAAAAGCTCAAAAAAGAAACGACACTGCGCAACAGTCAATTAATTTCTGTATAACATGAAGACTGGTAATTCATTGAGTTCTCGAAAACAAGTGCGAAAGGTCAGTGACTGAGCCATTTGCTCGTTCGTATGTAACAATGTCTGTGTCCCCTTGCCTTTGTACTCCTCATGAATGATAGTACGGGTAATAATTTTTGAACTGAAGGATTTTCATAAAACTTCGTGTAAGACTCTTGCCATTAAAGACTACTCAATCTGGATTTTCCTCAGTTCCTGCAGTTCACATACTAATATACAGTAGTGTATTCTTCAGAAGTAGGAAGGATAAGTAAAGTTGTTCCTCTGCTTAACTAATTAAGCGCTGAGCCATGAAGGCACATGGAGGAGTGAATGCATAAACCCATATTTTCTTAATCTCAGAACTAGGTGGAAGTGAGTGGTCAACTTCACGCCCCGGCCGCTTTATCCCCAGGAAGAAGCTCCCGGTACGCATTGGATAGGAGGCTGGGTAGGCCCCAGAGCAGGTCTCGACAACGCGGAGAAAAGAATATTCTTGACCCTACTGGGACTCGAACTCCGATCCTTCGGTCGTCCAGTCCATAGCCAGTCACTATACCGAATACGCTATCCCGACTTAAGGCGTATGCCAGTGATATTTAATATAGGATCCCGAAAATAGAGTGTGGTATGATAATAATTCTTCGAAAGTTTTAAAATTTTCTTGACAAGTTATTTTGCAGGATGTAGAATAGAAACATGACGGTAGCATGGAATCTGTATTTTTTTTTTCAGTCTGATAGCGACAACTGATTAATCAGTATAGCTAGACAAGGGAAATTTGTTATCAAGCGCACAAACGTACATAAAAAATCTGTATGAAATATATTTTATTTGGCAAAGTCACTGAACTTTGAGGTTATTCTGAAAAATGTAACATATACCTAATATATGTACAGGAGGCAACTGTGAACAGGAACTAATAATTACTCTATAAATTACTGGAATGTATTTACAAATATATTTCCTAGCGTCTCTCCAATATGGACGGAGGCATTTGAAACTGAGATCCAGAGAACGTATTCATTAGATATAAACAGCATCTAAACATATTTCAAATAAAATCGATAAGAGGAACATATATCGACTCCTTATTATGTGCTCACTTTACGAAATGGGTGTAAAGAATACATAATACATCTCTTGCCTGAATTCATATGTATACTTAACGGAGAAATGACACTTGGCTTCACACATAGATCTATAGAGACGACTTAGCTTAAGCATACACGCGAGTATTTACTCCGTTATATGCGCATCTCCAACTTCCGGAGAGTGACACAGTTCCTACCAATTTTGGTGTAATTATTGCTCCAGTTTCTGATGGAGAAATTATGGGGGCATGTCTGGCTTTTGGGCCATACAAAGTGTTACATCGGGTGCAGCAATCTGATGTGTGTGTTTTCGTAAGCATGTGATCGACTATCCCCCCCCCCTCTATATATATGATACGAAAAACGTCGTCTTTCTTTGTAATGTGAACAATATCTTATTTCTCACGTAAGAACTTAACATTAACTTGAATATGTCAGTTAAAATCTCGGGGGAGACTGCATAAATTGCTGAGATGTTTAAGAATTTGTCAGTGATATATTTACTCCTTTTCACTCTGGATTCTCAAAATTACAATTCATCCAAAATAAGCCCTGTTCAATTAAACGGAATGATATAAATTCCACAGCGCCCCTAGTCCCCCGACCTGATATCATTAGTTTACATGATCAAGAATGGAATGCTTGCAGGGATCATAGAAACAAGTGTGTCAAGATCAACAGATGCAAAACACATTTCATTAGTATAAACAAAGACTTCAATTATTAAAGTCATCTCAGATTATCTCTCATATCCTCATGCATAGGCACTTTAAAAAGGCAGAGAAGCGCTAAAGCAATGATACGCGACACTACAAAATCACCAGAAATCTAACCATGGAAATTAAATTTTCAACTGGCAGAATATTAAACAGAGTCTCTCACGAGAAAAAAAAAATAACACAAAAGCCTGAACATAAGGCGAACCATCACATCGCCTTACATTCGGGCTGATACAGTATAATCATACAGTACAGTGTGCATATAAAGAGAGTCGATGTTGTTGGACAGAAAAAGATTCTAATTCCCACAGTAATTACCATACTCAGCGGCCTCCGTAGTCTAGAGGTAACGTTCCCACCTCATGACTCGTGATACGCGGGTTCAAACACGGCGGAGGTTGTGGAATTTTTAAAGGCGGAAAAATTCAGGGAACAAGTCCTCCGGGAGGGACTTTAAGCCGTGGTCCCGTTTCGTAGCTTTACGGCACGTAAAAGAACCTCATATCTCCAAAGGAAGTCACTGAGCCAAATTCAAGGACATTTCCCGCCCAACAGTAGTCTCTAACCTCTCTGATAGATGGGGGAAGCATTATAGATACCGCTAAGCCAGTAGAGGCCGAACTCGCTGGCTCGGTCGGGACTGATGGTACTCACAAATATCGGTAGGGTATAGAGACTGGTAGAATATCATAGAGGGAAGCACAATTGACCAATACTGGTCTACGTGCATGGGGAAACCCACCCTCTCAATAACTAACTAACTAATTACCATACTCGACGGGAGAAAAGGTTATTACATTCTTAAAAAAAAGTAACTCGAGAAATATTTCTACTGCTGGAAGTCCCATATGAAAATTTAAATAAAGCGTACAAGGCCGAAAAGGATGTATCATGTACAATAATATTTACCTTATTAAATCTGATGAAAACACAGGGTGAGGCCTCCTGAAACCCGAAGTTATTTTCTTTGGTACAAGGAAACCACGCTCTGTATTCCGGAATACACACTTTGCCAGGTTTCGGCAGGCTGTCGTAGTCACAATTGACTGCATTCCGTGAATATTTGCTTGTGTTCAAGTGTCCTGTAAAGTATCAATTTTGGGCCTTACTCAACCGCTCATGTAAAATAGCACTGGGCCTTAATCGGCCGTCCATGTTAAGTGCTTTGAAAGGATCAGTATCTCTCTCTCTCTCTGCAATTTAAGCGAACAATTTGGCTTCAGCTGCACTGTTCTATGGCTTTAAAATTGAAAAGACATAATTTTCCAAGAATCTCTAAAACTAATGAAGCAATACTGACTCACTATTGGTTGCAAGAAACCATAATACCTTCTATAATATCTTCAATGACATTCGTCCACCTTTTGTAGCTGTTTGCATTAGAAGGGCTGAATGCAATTAAGGTGCCTTCTGTGTAACCATCCGTCTCCTTGGGACCATATCTGTGGCCTGTGAACACGAAATATTCCTTATAATGCATGTCTTTATCTCGTTAAATACGTATATATAACTGCCTAGGTATTCATTTGGATCTTACTCTGGGATGAATACTTATTCTGCGTCCTTATTTTATTTTTTTATTGCTAGTGGGGTGGGACTAAGCCCCTTGTACTGCGGCCACTTCTGGCCTATTGTACCAGCCCCAGGTGATAGGCGAGGGTGACTGTGGAGCAATTGGTGGAATGAAGATTGGCAGGGGAAACCGAAGTACTCGGAGAAAACCTGCCCCAGCGCCACTTTGTCCACCACAAATCCCACTTGACCAGACCCGCGATCGAACCCGGGCCGCCGAAGTGGGAAGCCAGCGACTAACCGTTTGCGCTATGGCGCGGCCCTTCTGCTTCCTTAAGTGCAACCGGTTTAGTTTAGTTTCTCGGGGCGGGGTGAGACTGAGTCCACTTGATCAACCACTAATTGGCTTATTGTACCAGCCTCGGATGATAAATGATGAGGATGGACGTGGAGCAGTCGGTGGAATGAGAATTGGCAAGGGAAACCGAAGTACTCGGAGAAAACTTGCCCCAGTGCCACTTTGTCCGCCACCAATTCCACGTGACCTGCCTTGGACTCGAACCTGGGCCGCTGCGGTTTGAAGCCGGCGACTAACCTCCTGAGCTATACCACAGCCTTATCTGCAACTGGTTGTTAGACACCAGCTAGTCAGGGTACTTCAGAGTTGTCAATGCTGGTGGAGGTATGAGCGGAACAAATGGCAGGGCAAAGGGAAGAACTTTCACGGTTCATATTTTTATAGTGAACGGAGAAGTTCATGGAGGTAGGCCTAGCCCCACTGGGGCTGCAGTACCAAGGGGGGAAAAAGAAAACTTTTTATAACAACGGTCGTCAACCCCCCGGGGAAGAGGGAGGGAGTCAGATTTTTCCCCTCCTACATACCATCCGAATGCAAGTCTGATGCAGTACCGTTCGACCACGCCCTCGACTAACCTACTCGGCGTTTGGCATTACGTACCTGGAACAGTTTCTATCATGAAATCATCTGTCTGCCATTCAGGTGTGGTTTTGATGAAGACGGAGTATACGAACCAGGCACAGAGGACAAGCACGGCCACGCAGCATACCACACCCAGCACTATGATCACCACTGCGAAAAAAAATCGTTATTTTCAAATGCAGTGTGCTTACAAAGACAAATTCCAAGAATACACATAAATTCAATATAAGTAAATTCAGGTTTCTGCGGATCATAACATAGGCTTAATTTAATTTTAGTCTTCCCATCAATTCCACAAATTGCTCTGACAAATATTTGTTTCGAAGTATTTTAAGTCAGAGTATTTTCTCCATATTCTCGAATTCGACAGTATCTGTCCAGCTTATGTCAATACATTATCGTGCATTTTCTTTTACCTTGTAAGGTAAAAGGTAAAGGTAAAGTTACCCCTGTAACAGTCCGTGGAGGCCCATAGGGTTGTGAGACGTCGAGGCTCCCACATTATCTAGACAATTGACTCGCAGATGACGATAAGGTTGTCAGCCTTACGCGCCGGCCGCCCGTTACCCCCAGGAAGATTTCTGGTACTCATTTATGTTAGAGGCTGAGTCGATCCCAGGGCCATAGTGCTGCTGGAAGGATTATGTTAATTGAAAAAAAAACACCTCATCGGGATTCGAACCAGCGACCTTCCGACTTGTAGCATAGTGTCTCAACCAACAACGCTACCGCGTGCGCTCACGTTGCAAGGTAGCATCTGGCAAATAACAACAATTTTCTTTTCTTGTATTTTTAGCGCAACAGTGTCTCCCATAGGAAACGTAAGTGATGTTAGCAGCGCAAGTGAAAGCGTTAAAGTTGTGACGATGAATGATATTCAAGTAAAGTTTATATACAATACCACAGCCCATAACTTGTGTCCCGGCGTTTTCCCCAGGGCCTGATTAAAGCGACAGAAACCGATGTGATCGCCCAGAGGCCTCCACGAAACAGAAATAGAATGATAAGGGCATTCATATTTTGATGTCCACGGGGCCTCCAACTGCAAATCCGGCCCTTGTATTCCCCTAAGCATTTCCCTAAAGAGCCTCAGAGGAACCACCGAAGAGCTTGGTAAGGATAACCGATCTCTGGGTCGAAAATAGAATCGAGACCTCCGAATTATGAAAGAGTGGTAACCAGTCTTATCACAACGTTCAGTCCCATTTACAGAACCAGTTATTTGCGTGTAAGAGAGTAACGGAACTTCTTATGTTGAGAAAATTTGCAGACGTATTCCGGATGAAACAAACCTTCACATGCAGTAAAACCTCTTTACGCTATCCACAGCTGAAGAGACAAATGTTACATTACTCCATCGCGGTGGCTAGCCACCCGGAAATGACATCACCAATGATGCCAGTAAGGCACAACAGGGCATCCAAAACTTATATACGGGAAATACTACAACAGGTTTAAATGTCTGTGAAACCATGACATCTGCGCATACTCTGGAGGGGCTCCATACCGTGGGCGTATATGATATTTAGTTTCCATTATGACTTGATCGAATGGAAGAGCACAACAAATTTTCGATTTTTTTCGATAACATATACGGAATAAACTGTTTTTGAGGAACTCGTGTAGGATAATCACAGGAAACGAAAGATAGAAGTTGTAGCACGCACATTTTTGTTAGTTTCTGTGTGCACGCCATATGAACATACACATCACATATTATGAAACTTTAATTATAACTTTATTTAAGAAAATGGACTTTTTGGGAACTAATACATTACTTTCTCAAATTATGGTTGGCAAAAATTATAAGAACATTAATAAAAGGTGAAATTGGCGCAAAATCCAATACATAATTTTAAGCAAAATTTTTGTGTCCCGATATGAAATCAGAATATCAGAATTAATTTAAAATATTGGTTTTCTTTTAAATGACCACAGACTTGTAGATTACTGTAACTGGCTGATTGGTAGTTACTTACATGACGCTATATGAAGTACTAAGTTTAAGGTGCGTTGAGAAAGTGCACAAAACTGAGGAAGGCAACGACTGTATGTGGTTGTTTATCTAACGACCTCTATCGATAGTTAAAATCATGTAGTTTCAAACGATATATAATACGATATTTCAGAAAGATGAATAAGAAATGTGGAAAATGATGACCTTGGACTACTCGTAATATTACTTCGGCTTCTGAGTGGGAGAACTGAGAAAGAAATAAACACAAGCGGGGGAGAGTCATGGCACACTTCAAGTGAGGAAAACGTTCAGTAATTACATCATTTAATTTCTTTCAATGATTCAGTATTGAGGGGGTGGGTTTCCCCATGCACCGCGACTGATAGTCTATTGTGCATCCCCCTTTAGTTTCTACTGTCTCCATCCCCTACCGATACTGGTGCTCGCTATCAGCCCCTTTCTGCCAGCAAGGTTTCTGCCCTCTACTTGGCAGTGGTATCTAATAGTTAGTCCCTTTCTATCAGCGAGGTCGTCCCTCCTCTGGCGGTGGTACCTAATACTTCCCCATCTATCGGAGGCATTGGAAACTATTTGGGCGGGAAACGTTTGGCCTAATTTAGCTCAGAGGCCTCCTAGAGACATTAGGTTCTTTTACGTGCCGTAAATCTACGACACGGGACCCACGGCTTAAAGTCCCTCCCGGAGGACTTGTTCCCTGAATTTTTCCGCCCTTAAAAATTCCACGACCTCCGCCGGGTTTGAACCCGCGTACCTTGAGTCATGAAGTGGGAACGTTACCTCTAGACTGCGGAGGCCGCTATTTAATTTCTTACTTTACACTATGTAAGATTTGAGGTTTTTACGGAGGTGACTTTGAAGAATTCCGTCTTCTGGGAAGTGACGCCGTGTGGATGCTGTGTGAACACAAGATTCACAGGGCGCCACATCCCAGAAGACGGCTTTCTTCTTGCTTTACACGTTTCCCTTTACACAAACATCTTTACAATCTCTAGAATACGCACTCCTTTACAACTCCGAATATTCAGAACGGCCACCTTTCATATTTATGTAAGTCTGGAGTCTGGTTGGGATGTATGAAAACTAAGATGTGTGTCCTGAATTTTGCACCATCCTGCATACCTCAGTCTGATAGGCGATTTCCCTCCGCAATCCCAACTGAATACCTCCTAAGTACTGATCAGACATGTTATGTTAGCGTTGTGACATCTCGCCCAGTTGCAAAGGATGGATGACGTCGAAAGATACGAGAGAACTGTTATAAGCAGTAAATTTAGTTCTTGGGTAGGACGTGGTCGTGACTTTGTGCCTTATTCTCCTGGCATCAGTGTGGAAGGACTGAGGAACGGCACCTCTCAGGACAATCGCTGAACAAAATTTCCTAGATGATAATATTTAACAGGCAAGCAGTTGTGGGAATTTGTCACACATTGTTACATATATTTCGGTGTATGTCTTGAGGCCAATAAGAACTACAAATTATTAACTATACGAATCACTATTACATCTCAGTGCATAATTTCCACCGGGACATCTTCCGACAACTCTTACAACTAGAACCCGTACTTTCGAGTCGTCGACATGTTTGTAATTGTTAAAGATGAGAAATATTTCGTTCAAAATTTGTTGGAATGACCTATCCCCATACAAAATTACAGGTTCCCAGCAACAGCAATTCGATGGTTCCGGTCATGATGCTTGCCTCGGCGCTACAGCTCAGGGTGACCTTCGCCTACCTGAACAATCTGCCTCCATTCTTCTCTATTCTTCGTCTTTCCTTCTCTTTCTTTCACTTTCATTTTGTACATCCCCGTCGATTTCCCTTCAGTCTAGCCACCGAGGCAGATTATCTGGTTTCTGAACAATTTAGTTTTTACGATGTGAAGTTATTAGCTTCACGCCTTAAGGTCATGATATCAGTGCCAATTTCGCGCGGCTGCCACGTTCTTTCAAATCCTCCAAAATAATTACCTCACAAAATGCTTTACATCTTAGTATATAATTCAACTTAAAAAATGGAGGATCATATTTGAAGCGCTGCTCTCATCAAGAAAATTCTCATGGACGCGTTGTTGTTATTACTGATTGTTGCAAATTATACAGTGCTGGCTTGTCACTAGTGGTATGATATTCATATCAAATTCCATAAAAATCTGTCAGTTGCTTCGAAACCTTATTGGTGGGCTAAGTGTGTGGTCATGATGGTGTGGTACTATTATCGTTTTGCGTAAAATTATAAATGTTTGTTAAATAATTATTATTAAAGAGCTTACAGTTTAGATAGCGAAGTGGAAAACAGCGGGTAGCGCGTGTCCGACGGAGAGCTACGTTGAGCCCCGCATTCTGGATTTCCCTCGTAGATATGATGGCATAGTTATATAAAACGTGTGGAAAGTTGCCAATCTGCCCTCTGTCAGCTAAAGAGGTACTAAAGTTACGAAATAAAGAGAGGCACCAGCAAATGAAGAAGTCGGCTCTGTAGGTCAGCCGAATCCAACATCCGACTGGCCCATATCGTTATGGAGATTTCATTGGGGTTCTGCACTCCCCCGTGACAAATCTCTCCATGTTCCAGACACTGTCACCGAAAACAGAACTGCTGAATAATGTGTTCAGTCGCAACTACAGTTTCTCGAATTCTGGGAGTATCAGATTTTAATCCCACTAAGAACACGTGTGTTGCTGCCTTGTCATGATACATGACCTCGCTAATTGCCCTCTTTCCAATGAGTTCTACAAGCTGTCATAAATGTAACTATATCAGAATTAAATCTCGGATGGAAGAGACCAAAGTGCCTAATCGCTGGAAATAGAAGTCGCTTCAGCATCTTTAAACGACCTACCTGTCAGTCAGAAATGCAGACTAAACTAATTCAATGAGACCGAGTCCTTGAGAAACCAACAGTCTCTCAGCCACTCAAGGATTTCCCAAAATCTTATGGAATCTGAAGGTCCATTACCGTGTTCATCAGAGACTGTCCTAAGCCTGATGAATTCAGTCCATACCATCCAATCCTATTTCTCTAAGATTTATTTTAATACATCCTTCCACCTACGTCCAGGATTTCCTACTGATCTCTTTCCTTCTTGTTTTCCCCACCAAACCCCAACATGCAATCATTTTGCCTCCATGTGTGCTACATGCTATACCCATCTCCTCTTCAATGACTTAACC